ACGGCTGATCAGAGACTCGGCAGACACCTCTTAGTGAAAGAGACCATCAGGCAACTGAAAACACTGGCAGATGTGCTGAACTGCCTCCAGCCCTGGCTTTGACGGGGATCTCAGTTTTTAAATGTAAATCAGTATCATTCTGCATTTTTTCGTGGAAGCAGAGCTGTCACAGGACCCTCTCTCCTAGCTGCTACCAAGGGAAGCCTGTGCTCTAGTCTGGATTCCATAGGGAATGCCGGCAGGCTGACAGCATGGCTTCTCAGCAAGAAGGATCCCACCTTGTCCCCACAAATGTTACAGCATTGCTGCTGGTGGAGCAGGTGGTCACGAACGCAAAGGAGTTTGTGAGAGGTCTGTAGATAGCACGGGTGGCTTTTGGGGATGGTAAATGCCATCCTCAAGTCTGTACCCCCACTTCTACAGCTAGGAAACTAATTTATTCCTAAAAAGTGTTGATGTCAATTAAAACGCATGGGGGAGGTGCTGGGAACCTTACACAAAGCATGTAGCCACAGCAACACCAGAGCATCACAGAACCATCTGGTTGGAAGAGACCCTCAAGATCATCAAGTCCAACCATTCACCCTGCACTGTCAGGGTCCCTAAACCATGTTCCTCAATACCAAATCCACACAGTTTTTAAACACCTCCAGAGATGGGGACTCCACCACCTCCCTGGGCAGCCTGTTCCAATACTTCACAGCCCTCTCTGGAAAGAGATTCTGAAAGAAATTTTTCCTGATATCCAACCTAAATTTCCCCTGGCGTAACTTGAGGCCATTCCCTCTCGTCCTGTCATTCATAACGTGGGAGAAGAGACCGACCCCCCCGTCTCCCTACAACTTCCTTTCAGGTAATTGCAGAGAGCGATAAGGTCCCCCCAAGCCTCCTCTTCTCCAGACTGACCAGTCCCAGCTCCCTCAGCCGCTCCTCGTAGGACAAGTTCTCTAAACCCTTCATTAGTTTTGTTGCTCTTTATCATCCACTGCACAGGAATATTGTCTGACAGACAGCAGTAGGCTGGTAACACAGTACTCCAGGTGTGGTCTCACCAGTGCTGAGTACTGGGGGACAATCACTTCCCTGCTCCTGCTGGCCACACTGTTTCTGATACGTGCCAGGATTCCATTGGCTTTCTTGGCTGCTTGGGCACACTGCTGGCTCATGTTCGATCGGTTGTCGACCAGCACCCCCAGGTCCTTCTCTGCTGTGCAGCTTTCCAGCCACACTTCCCCAAGCCTGGAACACTGCAGGGGGTTCTTGTGGCCCAAGTGCAGGACCCGGCACTTGGTCTTGTCGAATTTCATACAGTTGGCCTCGGCCCATTGATCCAGTCTGTCCAGGTCCCTCTGTAGAGCCTCCCAATCCTCAGGCAGATCAGCACCACCTCCCAATTTAGTGTCATCTGCAAACTTGATGAGGGTGCACTCGATCCCCTCATCCAGATCATTGATAAAGATGTGAAAGAGAACAGGCCCCAACACTGAGCCACCACTGGTGACCGGCCGCCAGCTGGATTTAACCCCATTCACCACCACTCCCTCTCACTCACCATCACCTACTGTAAGACCACACGAGCAGTCACACAGCCGGTTCACCCCTGACATGCCTTGCTCCATCCCTGGAGACGTTCAAGGCCAGGTTGGACGAGGCCCTGAGCAACCTGATCTAGTTGGAGATATCCCTGTTCCTTGCAGGGGGGTTGGACTAGATGACCTTTGAAGGTCCCTTCCACCCCTAACCATTCTATGATTCTATGTTTAACTTTGGGACACGACAAAACCGAAGGATAGGGGACTGCACGGGCACCTGCTCTGCTTCTCCTCATCTCACGGAACAAACTTCACTGCTACCTGCCCTGCCTTCAACGACACTTCCAGGGATAACTGCTGCCAGCTAAAACAGAAGACACACAGGCATGGTTTTAAGGAAAAAAAGCAAGCTTGCTCCACAAAAATAAATTAATAGAAACACTGGACAACTATGGCAATAATAAAACAAACAATTATTGTGTTATGGAACATGGACATGGAGTGCTACTTGATTAACAGTGTTATTTTGCAAAGTAAAGAAAACTTATAATGAACATGCACATATTTTGAAACTGCTGTAGATCTGCCTAAAACTTCCTTTTTTTTTTTTTTTGCTGATGCCTCACTACTTTTACCTAGGCAAAATGTTGGGGAGACTGCTATTCTCTCCAAGAACTGTTTTCCTTGGGGAAAGTAGGGAGCATTAGAGGTCTGGAAATTATTGAATGTTAAACCTACTTTGGGATAACACTTATTGTTATTCTAGGTCAGCAACTGTTTCTTGAAACAGATCCAGCAGAGAGATTTATTTTCTTAGAGTAACTGGGATGTTTCTGGCAACTCTGAGATTTTTTTTTCACAGAAACAGAGCGTGTGGGGGAACAGGATAGCTGCACCCAGAATCATTAAGTGGTTGTGGTCCTCTGCTTCTTTACAGCAGAACCTTGGCAGCCAAACAAGCAGTGACAGGATTTCTGCAGCCAGTAACAGAAATAAAACTACAGGAGATAGAAAGCGACACGCTACTTTCTGAAAAAGCCACAGTGATGCCTCACAGGAACTCTCTGCATGGGAAAAAGAAATAAGTGTGTGAAGACAAGCTTTGCTTTCACAAATCACAATCAGCTGAGCAGCTAAGGAAAATCCACTTTCACTAAAATCATTTATATCTCAGCACTGGTACTTAAAATAAATTAAACAGACATATTGCTTCATTCCATAGAACCTGCCAAAAGGTGAAGTCAGAATAAATACCTCAGATACACCTTGCAAGTACCTACTGCACTGAACTGGCAGGATATTTAAGATGATAATTCCCTCTGCCTCAAGAATCTTTCTTTAAAAAAAAAAAAATTAGAATCCAAATTTATCTGCAGTGATTATCGCTCTCGTTTTCAGACACTCTTCTATCAGTCTCTGACCTGCTCTAGCAATACTGTTCTCTTTAAAGTCATTATACTGGATTCCACTCCAGGCACATCCTTCCTCTGCATCCCTGGAAATAAGATGGGAGCTCCTGTAGTTTCAGTAAGTGTTTTTCCTCCACAAAAATCCCTTTTAATTTAAGGGGTACCTACCATTGCAACCTGCTACTCCTTTGCTCCTCCACATCCTGCCAAGCTACCATCGCTATTCAGACTACACGCTCCAGATTCTTAAGCGATGCACTGGTGTGCCTAAAAAAAAAAAATGAGGCATTCCTCACCAACAGGCTAAAGAAGGAGCTTTTGATTGATTGCAGACCATCTAAGCATCTCTGTGAAAGGCCGAGCACATCGAGACTCCTGGAGCCACCTAATTAGCAACACTAGTCACAGCAGTGCGTCTCCGCCGAGCTCCAGGAGACACTTCAGGCAGCTAAAGGAGTGTTTTACTGAGCTTCCCTTCTTCAATTTGTCCCAGTGCCTCAAAGAGATCTCATTCACACAGTCAGAAAGGAGTCTTCAGCTCTTTTGGCCAACTGTATGGTGCTGGGTATCATTTTTTCTTCTCCGATTACGCCCGCAAGCCCTGGGATCGTCCGGCCTGACTTCACCGACACGGGGCTGACGACCTCAGAGGTCACCGCGCGCTGCTGTCTTCAGCAGGGGAACTCACAGACGTTCCCTGGATGGGAAAGATGGAGTTACCTATTTAACTAAAATTGTAATTGATATCTTCTTTAAAAAAAAGACAATTTTCCATATGACTTCTAATTAAAAAAACCCTTTTCTTAAAAAAAATAAAATAGCATTAACATAGATTTGGGCTATTTTCATATATTCAGAGGAACAGAACGAGCTATTAGCTAAATCACTTTTTACTCATCAACAACTGCATTAACATGAAAGCATACACAAATAGCAGTGGAAAGAAAAGAGAATACTTAAAGAGTAATTTTTACTACTCCAATGTAAATAAAAGCTCCTGAAAGCATTTAAGATGTACACAGCCACTTTAATATCTACGCTTACTTAGTAAAGATTTTGGTTTTTTTTTTTTAAAAAAAAAATTCATTCCTATTGTTCAACTGAGCTAAAACATGAAGAACCACATTTGTCATAGTCTCTACAATCATTCTACAACCCTCTCTTGCTGAGGGTCCTTCCCACTACAACTGGAAAGTACATAAAAGGACAACTGTAAGTAAGTTGTAAACTGGCATGCACGAGGGTAGCTGGAAAACTTAACTTTTTGATCATTTCAAATGTATTTCCACCTGTTTCAGTTGGAACTTCTACAATTAAAAGCACAGTGTTTAATGCTATCTCAAAATACTTAGGGGAAAAAAAAAAAAAATCTTTCGCAGAACATACAGATCAGAAGTGCTATTACACAAAGTTTCCTGTGCCTTAAGACAATCCCACTCACCAGAACTGCAAAAACAATGGAGAAAAAATTGCCAAAACTAAAAGGTACCTTACAAAAGAACACACGTTCTCAAAGAGGCACAGATTTACTAAGAAGTTCAATACTACGTAAAAAGCAATTCCCATTTTATTTTAAATCGCAATAAACTGTACAAAAATGTCTTATTCTTGCCAAAAATAACAGCGATATTTTCAGTCTTGCTTCCAGACAAACAACAAACGCTTATTTTATTCTTTCCTCGGTGAGTTTACAAATAAACACACAACCAGATGCATGATTTTGTGTCAGGGTCAGGATTGAACGAGCAGGTTTAAACGTTCGTGGAATAAGTTTCGTGGTTTTAGTGTCTTTTCGGAATTCCAGTACTCCTGCAACTGTTAAAAGCCTAAAGAAAAAAAAATGTTCTGTGTCTCACACAAAGGAATGTAAACAGTCATCAAGAGATTAAAGAGGTTGACTCTTCCAACAAAACCGTAAAGGTACCTCTACCACCAACATCCACTTTACACCAGACCAGTCCCAAGCACCAGGATAGTGGGATAGATGAATCCACTCTCCAAAATGCCAGTTAAACACATATCAAAGTCTTTTTTTTTTTTTTTTAAAAAGTCTTCAAAAAGAATAAAATCCCAAGTAACAGAACTGAAATGGATTACAGTCTTTTTAACATTTTGAGGGTTTTTTTCCTTATCCTAATGTGACACCCCCATCAGATCTACAATCACAATGTACTTTTTCCAAGATGCAATAAAGCAAACGAGCAGCTAATTAAGTCACTCAGATGTAGAAACCACCTCTGCCAAGAGCACAGGTTTATTTTCAGGCTGTTTTGTTCACATGACACATTTAATGCAGACTAACAAAACCTAATTTGGGTCACTGACCACACCTTCTTCATTCCAAGAACTAAAACAGAAACACAATTGCAGTGACTTTTCAGCTTTCACGATTTTTCCCCCCTCAGCGTTGAAACCCAATGAAGAAAAAGCTGTTTCAACAGATTAGAGCTTAAAAATTAAGCATCTGCTGTTACTTCAGAGTTGTTTGAAGGAATAAAGTCTGGAAATTCCACTTTGTCTGGATAGAGCTTAATGTAGGTGTCCACCATTAAGTCTAAGTCATGTTTTATATCAAAGTTGATGTTGAGCAAAGCAAGGTTGCTCGACCTTTGCTCCGTCAAGGTGTTTTTCAGGTATGCCTTTAAGCGCTTCCGCCCCATTCCGTATTTTTCATTCTCCACCTTCATCACTGGAAGGATGCACAGGACTTTAAGCAAGGCGTAAACGTTGGGGAAAAACTTGATGTCAGGCAAGTGAAGTGCTTCATAAATAGTAGCTGGAAGTTCAATATCTTTTCCTCTGTGCTTCCACTTGATTCTCCAGCAGTGAAGCTCAGCAGACAGCGTGTCTGGATTAGGCAAGTCATTTTTGTACATGTAGGCGTGATGCTCCTCTGATGTATTGAATTTGAGCTGCCCCATGACTGAGGGCACTAACGACAAACACTTCAGAGCTTTTAAATGTTGTTCTGAGAATATATCTTTTAATTCCTGGATAATGTGCTCTACTGTGGGGACACTAAGGATTTCTTTGTAGTAATTTTCCGACGTTACATCAGAGTCCAAGTTCTCCTGCTGCGCCCTGCGAAGTTTTCCTGGGAGTTTAATTTGTACATCCAGTTTCGCAGCCAAATTTGTCGCTTCCTCAAACCAAAATTCATGGTAAACTTCAATATTCTCCATCACTTCGTTCAGAGAATGCAACACTGCTGTTAAGCTGCCAGCTGCAAAGAATACATCTGATGTTTGACCTTGGAGATTTTTTCCAAACGCTCTTGTGAAAGACAGAACGTTTTTCAGAATTACAATCGTGACAAGGAAGTCAAAATCTCTTAACGCGGCTGAAAGAACAAACGCTCGGCCGGCAATAAAGTTGTTCCACCTGACGGATGAGTCGCTGCTTACCGCATCCAAGCACAGCACCAAGGCTTGCACGAGGTCCACCAAAACCTCAAAAGCATCATGCCTGCCTGTCCACTGAGAACGACAGATCTCCTTCAGCTGGTTACCCTTCTCCTTGTTGTTCTGAAAAAGAGCAGAAATCGTGTTGTCCAGTTCTACTAGTAATTGTGGAGACTGATTAAAAAGACAGTAAACTTCTTCGATTGTTCCTAACGCAACAGAAACACCAACAACGGGGACAGATTTTGCCAGCCAAATATTTAAGGCACATGAGGAACACAGCGTATACACAGCTTGTGGATATTTTTCCAAGAGTCTTGTAGCCACAACTTTCATTTTCGAAGCAAAGCCACTGGAGACAATGTAGGCCTGACCTCGACAGTACTCCATGTTCAGACCCCACTTTTCAGTGATAGTCGTGTGGAACTTCACAGCTAACATTTCAGGATCGGCCTCGTACGGTAAGAATCCTATGAATTCTTCTCTCAGATTATGAGAATCATCAACAAACCTCACCAACACTGGCAAGTGTTCCTCTCCTGCTATGTCTACGACTTCATCGGTGACAATAGAAAAGAAGTGCGAGTCTCTTACTTCCCTCAGTGTCTCTTCTCTCACGCAGCTTTCGCAGATCTCAAGCATTTGTTTCTGCTGAGTTTTCGAACAATACTCAAGATTGACTGCAGTCATCTCAAATCGTTTCCTCAGAACTTCATCTCCAGCATTTATTCTATATTCCAGTAGAGCCTGAAAGTTATCTGAAGTAAAAATACCTTCTGGAAGCTCATCGACATTATGGCCATCCAAAGGAATATTTTGTTTACCCATTAGGATTAAAATTTCAAACAAAGATTTAAGGTAATCTTTGTTTTCTCTTTCTTCCAGTGTTAAGGGGACAATTTCTTCCTCTACTTCTTCCCCTCCTTCCTCTGAGACAGTGTTTTGTTCTTTGCTTTCATTCAATTCTTGAGTTGCCTGTTCCCGTTCAAAAGTTTCATCAACTACAAAATGTAAAAAAAAAAACCTGTGTCAAGATAACATGAATAAAACATAACGTTTTCTTTCCCTTACTATCCCCACTACCTTTAAGTTACTGGAGTCCAGAGAAGAATGCTTCCCATTTAAAAGTGAATGAGTATTCCAGAAAGAGTTTTAGACTGGCTGTTTGAATCAAGCAGGAACAAAATTATCCTCCTGCTATATATAAACTTACAGTTATGTGTCCTGCATTACCTTGTTGGGCTCAGTAAACAAACCTTTTACAAACCCAGTTATTTTGCCCACTTACTCTTTTGTTGCTTCAATGTTCTTATTTCATCTTCACTCTTTAAAAAAAAAAAAAAATTACATGGATGACAACATCTAGCACATGACCTTAAAATATCAAAAGACATCAAGATCAGGTACAAACACTGCAGATGAGACCATTTTAAGAGTGTTAATATTTACCAAAAAGTGCTAGAAGGTCCAAGAGAGGGAGGTTTCTTCAGGTAGTTTATTGCTGCCATGACACAGACCTAGTAACTACATGAGAACAGTTTGGCACTACTGCCCAGATTTCCCTACTTACATGAGCAGTTTGTCCAACATGTATCTTCTAATTATTAGTAAATAGATTCCATTAAAGAATTCTGTTTCAATATGAACACGCACTGTCAGTAGACAGAACTGTCTTTAACTCTATTTTCAGTCCATAAACAGAGACAAACTCCTGAAGAAATATTTAGAAATAGTCATTTTCTAACAGACGAGCAGAGTTTAGGAGTTGAATTCCCCTGAATTGTCAGTGTACTTGCAACCACAGAGATCTAGAGACGCTTTTTCTACAAATGATACAAAAGAGGTATCGACAAGACACAATTCCACAGGAAAAAAATAGTCATCTTGATTTTTGGTTTTATCCATGGATCATCTTCTCAGAACAATAAGCTAGAACAAGCACGTGTGAATTGGCGCAGACTTCAGAAGTTAAACCAGTGAACTGAAGATCACAATCAAGATGCAGCAAAAATTTCGGGGTACCACGCACAGGTTGTGTTCAGTTAGCGCTGCAATAATGAGCAAAAGGAAACTATGCACTTTCTCTGGAAGACGGAATCAGCTCTGGATCAACACATTTCGTTTTCCAAATTATTTCTTTAAACCTTACTTGGCAGATAAAATTTGTATCAGCATAATATTTGGGCATTTAGCTTATAATCAACGAAAGAGACTAGAATAGGCAGTACAGAAAATGCCAACACTCAAGTACAACCTATTATTATTAAACACTTTTGTACAAAAGTTCCATGCGAACTTACCTGCCTTTATTGTTTTAATATTTAAAAAAAAAGTCTTACCAGTTCTTTTATCCTTTTCCTATGTCTGCTGTGCGGATTGTTCAAGTGACTTGTGAGATCAAATATAGTTGGCACAGCATTATCCCGTAAAACCGTTCTGTAAGGGCTCTGCAAGACAACAGAAATCTGGATTAGGGATATCTCTGGAAAGTTCTCACTGTGTGTGCACAAAAAGCCCTCAGAATTTCAGATGCCATGCTCCCTCCTCCTTTTCTTTTTTCTTCCTTTTTTTTTTAAAAAAAAAAGTATTTTCACTTTCTGATGTTTCAAAACAAAGGGAAAGCTATGCTGTTCAAGTCACATTTTGGGCTATATATAAAGAGAATACTGAAAATGAGGAGAGAGATATTTAAAAAAACAACCACCACTCCAACACAAATCACAAACCCTTTTTCTTCCCCCTTATCTTCACATCAAAGACCCCAAACGCAATAATTAATACTGTAATATTATGACTATTTTTTTCTGAACAAGAAGACATGTATGCATCAGGAAGGAAACCTTTTGTTACTACCAAGCTTTGGGTTCCATAACCTCTTTCACAATTTTAGAAACAATCACATAACCATTTTCACTATGAAAATGGTCAACTCCTTCTTTATGTGGACTTACAAATTCCACAGTAGTCTTCTGTGGAAGATGATACTGAGAAAAATGTATCTGTCAAATGAGCGGCATGAAAAACAGACTTCAAGGTGGTCAAGTCAATGTTTCTAGCAGTTAAAAAAAAAAATATCTGAAGTAAAATTTTTTTAATTTGGATATACTGTAAACTTACGTCATCTAAACTGGCGAATTTCCAGTAAATACAGAATTTTAACTGATTATGTTTATACCTGCCATTAGATTGAAATACATTTTAAACAAATTAAGTTTCATAAAGCTTCCTCTCAGATCCAGAATTACCTCCAATATTCATTTTTTCATTTGTTTCTGGGATGCTGGCTAATCAGAGACCCTGTCACACGCAATACCACCAGGAGCTCAAGGTCTGACCTGCGTATTTTAATTACCCTTAATAACTAAAGGACTGATTTTGCCTATCTATCAGAGTGAAATTCAGCCTGCAAATTAAAACCTGACACAAATCCCCAAGTCCACGATTTCCTGCTCTTATGTAAGCTATTAAAATCAGCGTTAGCAAGAAGAATTGAAAGTTATTATTTCATTAACAGGAAACAGTGCCGTGATTTTAGCTGGATAAAATGTAACAGGAACCAAAAGCTTGACAGATGCAAAGAATGTTTAAATCTCTTGGCCACAACAGAGTGTAATTTCACTGCATCACACCATGCACACGCTTCAGTAACAGCACACGAATGATTTTAAATAATCAGAGGTATGCAAACCTACACACTTACACCCAATAAATGTATAGAATGTTGTAACATCTAGTGACAATAAACAAAACGAGCACTGCTTTGCTAGAGGAAGGAATTGCAGTGAAGACCAGGGCTCCACAAACATATTAAACCAGCAGGAGTGGCTCTGCTTTTCTCTTCCCCGACTGCTCATTTCCACTTCATCCTTTGTGCCAACATCTGCGAGCCTGCGTGGTGCCCTAGACCATGCCAATGACCAATTAACACCAAGAGACTGATTTTTCCCACTTACCTCGGGGATCAATGGCATCCTGGGCTGTATTAGAAGGGGTGTGGTTAGTAGGTCAGAGAGGTTCTCCTCCCCCTCTACTCTGCCCTGGCGAGGCCGCATCTGGAATATTGTGTCCAGTTCTGGGCCCCTCGGTTCAAGAAGGACAAGGAACTGCTGGAGAGAGTCCAGCGCAGGGCCACAAAGATGATGAAGGGAGCGGAGCATCTCCCTTAAGAGGAAAGTCTGAGGGAGCTGGGTCTCTTTGGCTTGGAGAAGAGGAGACTGAGGGGAGACCTCATTAATGTTTATAAATATGGAAAGGGTGACTGTCATGAGGATGGAGCCAGGCTCTTCTCACTGGCATCCAATGATAGGACAAGGGGAAATGGGTATAAGCTGGAACGTAGGAGGTTCTGCTTAAACATGAGGAAGAATTTCTTCCCAGTAAGGGTAACAGAACACTGGAACAGGCTGCCCAGAGAGGTTGTGGAGTCTCCTTCTCTGGAGATGTTCCAAACCCGCCTGGACGCGTTCTTGTGTGATCTGATCTAGGTGGTCCTGCTCCAGCAGGGGGATTGGACTAGATGATCCTTTGAGGTTCCTTCCAATCCCTAACATTCTGTGATTCTGTGATCAAAGATTAAAACACAGCATTCTGATGAAAAACATTAACCACGTTTTGCAAGATGCAATAAAGGAACGCTCGGTTTTACTTACGCTTCTGCAGATCATGGAAGTCTCAAAGTGTTTAGCGCACAATCTGTAATGCTTGTTGAGTTGATCTGGAGTTTTATCTTCCAAGTCTGCCCTTCGACAGTTCTCTACCCATCTCTGACATCTGCATGGAAGCAAAAGAATTAGCTAGTTTTAAGATAAAAGAAAATCCCCTACTATTTCAAATAGAACTGGAGTGCAGCGAGCCCTGCCCTTTACGCAAGGCTCAGGAAAGTTCTGTACACCTTCTGTTGAAATGCACAGAAACATCAAATCTTGTTAAAAATTTGGTTTTCTCCTTTTGCTCATCACTTCATTTCGCTCACCACTTTGTTTTGCTCCAGCAAATTCAGGAATCTTTTCCCTTAATTTATATATTCTCCTCTTTCTCATACACACATCAGACTGTAACGCAGTTGCTCATGAAACCTGACCATTTAATTCCTAAGAATTTAATCTTGAAAAGTTAAAAAAGAGATGTGCTTGTAGACTAAAGTCAAAGTTCATGAAGGCAGCTATTAAAATAGTTGTCATCTCCACCTCTCTCCAAAATAAATCATTTCTCTTATTTATTGTGATCACTGAGGAGTTGAGAGTAGATTTTTGAAAAGTGAAACAATAAAATTAAAAAAGCAGTCATTCTACAGATAGTGCTCTCACGCCTGAAGTAAGTTTTTGTTAGATGCACATTTTTACATTTCCTTCTGCTCTGGATTAGTTTTCTGAGGTATAACACAAAGCTAAATAAACTTTTCCCCTACTAATAGAGCTCCTTGCAGTAATTGATGCAAATACATTAATCAGTTTATATTTCCCCTAACGGGGTCTCTGCAATCACTTTCTTGCTGTGGATTTTTGAGCAAAAACAAGCACAGACTGATTCTACGCAGCTACTCCAGTAAAACTCATCTATTTTATCTGGGCAGTAAAAATATATACAAAAATTAACAAGACTCCAGCAACTACTGACATCTCTTTATTTAAAAGTTTCAGAAAACAAACAAACAAACAAAAACCAAACGAACCCAAACTTTTCAACATGAACTCATATTTTAAAGCGTTGTGGTGGTGGTTTTTTTTTAACTGGTACATGTTGGCAATGCCCACAAAGTTCCAGGAATCTACAGAGAAGTTATATGAAGATTCTGCTATTTCAGTAGGGCAAAGTGAGGGAGATTTCCCCACAACTCAATCATTGCTGAAATTCATGAAAGCAAAAAAATTACTCAGTCCACTTAAAAACAAAAGGCTTTAAATCTTCTTTTTAACTCCTAAATTAAAAAGAAGATGGGTCCAGACCCAAGAAACAGCTAGAAGTTATGAGAAAGCAATTTCACTATTGTTTTTGACTGCAAACACGGAATTATTGCTCACAGGAGCAAGAAGGGAGAGGAAAAGAAAGAAGAGAGGGAGAAAAATAATTAGTGATTATCCAACAACAAAGGTTGTCTCGCCACATGTTTTGGTGGGCAGCCCAAATGAGGAAATCCACAGCTCTGAGTGGATTCACCATCACCTCTACTTTAACCGAGTGCAATAAAAGACAACTGTGAAGATGAAAGGAGAGAATCTTGGATTCTGATCTCTGCTGGCAGAACCTTCTGTGTATCTTAAGTTTTAGTTCCTGCAAAGTATCAGCATAACAGTGGCAGCAAGTGCCATAAAACAGAAAGCAGAGACCCACATGAGAATCCTTAATAATGAGTTAAAGCAAGAAAATTCTGAAAATGTTTAAAAAAAAAAAAATATCAGTTTTTTGCACCAGATTTGTGGTCTTGCCTGCACAGCACAGTCACCCCAACAAGAGAAGAGTGCTCTTCATTTAACCAAACAGTACAAACAGTCTTTTTAAATGGGAGACCTTTAGCATGTAAATTACATCGAATCTGGCTCTCGTGCTTTCGGAGCAGGTGCTGATTATCAGATCAGTGTGGACACGCTGGAGGGAAGGGATGCCATCCAGAGGGACCTTGACAGGCTGGAGAGGTGGGTCTGTGAGAACCTCATGAAGTTCAACAAGGCCAAGGGCAAGGTTCTGCATGTGGGTCGGGGCAATTCCAAGCACAAGTACAGGCTGGGCGGAGAATGGATTGAGAGCAGCCCTGAGGAGAAGGACTTGGGAGTGCTGGTGGATGAGAAGCTCACCATGAGCCAGCACCGTGTGCTGGCAGCCCAGAAAGCCACCCGTGTCCTGGGCTGCATCCAGGGCAGCGTGGGCAGCCGGGCGAGGGAGGGGAT